CGTATTGATCCTAACATGTGGTACCGCCATGACCCGAGAAACTCAAGATGAGACCTTTTTTTGCTCCATTTGAAGTCATTTGGGGTCTATAAATACTTCCTGCTTAGCAAAGCTTGAAATTTAGTAGAAAAGGGGGAAAGAATACTTGAGAAAATAATTGAAAACTCTCTTAGGATTTAGAGTCTCTTCCTCTTAGAGTTAGTAGTTTTGTAAGGGAGAAGTGAGGTCTAAAAAAAATGTGTAAAATGTTCTCTCCTAAGCGTATGAAAAGGAGAAAGAGTTGTAAGGGTAGTTGATCTTCGTCCGTTGAAAGAAGATCGGTAGTAGAACCGATGGCCTCGAGTGAAGAGGAATCGGTAGTGAATGTAGGTCACGACGACAGAACCAGTACAAATCTGGTTTACATTTATTTTATATTTTTTATTCATATTACAAACTGATTTAGTTATTTACTATACTTACGAACGCTTTCAAGTTAAACTCTTTTTTGATATTAATTTTCATCGAACGAGAATTTTCAAACCGACATAATTTTTAAAAAAAATAATTCATATCCACAGATCAAAAACATCGTATCAAGTGTGGGGACCGTGTACATGATTGCTTCAAGTTAAAAAAAGCAAATACCATCTTTTGGAGGAGTCCAAGCAATGAAGCTTTATTGCGGTGGGAATGCAGATTTTCCACATAGCAACAAAACTGACTACAATCTGATGAAGAACATGACAAAACCTAAGAAGAAAATGTAGCTCCAAATCCTGGTTTTGGAAGGAGGACATCACATAGAGTTCACCTACATTGATTCATGCCTCCTCTTTTTCATTCTGGGTTCCTAATAATCCTCTGCAGCACCACAGTCCTGGCTCTCCTAATGTCCCTGCTGCATCTATCAGCCTGCTCTCCCAAATCCTCCACGCTCTTCATGAACACCTCCATCTTCTTCCTGATCTCCTCAATCCCAAGTTTCACTGCCCCCACGTCCTTGATGGCGAATTCAGAATCGTCCAGCAGCGAGGTAATCCCCATTTCCAGCTTGTCGATGAGCACCCGAATGCTATCCATGTCCTTTATGGCGATAAAGGTTCCTACTTGCATCGAGCTCAGCACCTCCTTCTGCCCTTTCAAGGCGTTCTGGTAGTCGTTCAGCAACGAGTCGATCCATTTCCCCATCGACCCGATCGGGATCGACGCCGCCGCAGCCAGCGCCGCAGCCACTGGCGGTGCAGCTACTGCGGCTGCCACCACGGAGCAGATGATGACTGCGGCGAAGGTGGCGGCGAAGATTATGCTCGAGAGTGTCCGCCATGCCTTGATGGACTTCAGCTTCTTGTCGAGCTTGTTCTTCCTCAGCTGCAGCTTCTCCAGCATCAGCAGCTGCTGCCTGTAGACGGACTGGAAGACCCGGAAGAACTCTTCGGTGAATGGATCGCCGGCCGCTTTGAAGAGCCTTAACTCCTCCAATGTCCTTGAGTACTTCTTATTGTCGTCTTCCTCCTCCTCCTCCTCGGCGAAGCGTTGCAGGGCGACGTGGATGATGAGTTGGGTATCGCGGGCTTTCTTGAGGCACTTCTCGAGGGCGGCGCAGAAGTCGAGCGTCTGCAGGCTGTTGTCGAAGTAGTCCTCGACGAGGTCGAAGAGCTCGGGGCTCTTCCAGATGTCGCGCTTGCACTCCAGGATGACCTTCACCACCTCATGGTTCATCTCGAGCAGGCAGCCGGTGATCTCGCGGAGGGAGTCGAGGGAGAGGGAGCGGACCTCGACTCCGAGAGCGAGGGAGGAGATGACGCGGCTGGTGCGCCGCTGGAGCGTCGAGTCGAAGGTCTGGAGCTCGGGATCGAGGCGGCAGGCGGCCTCGTACGAGCTGAGTTCTGCCACGTACCGGATGTCGGCCTGGACCCCTTTGTCACCCGCGGTAGCCGCCGAGGCGTCGCCGCCGTCCTCTAATAGGACCGGCGGCGTGTCGGGCCTCTTGCTGAGGTGAGCGCCCATCAAACTTGAAGGAAAGGAGAGATTTTCGCGATGATGAAAAATCTCTCAAAAAGAAGGAAAAAGGAAATCTTTGGGGAGTATAACCGATGATGAGAAGAAATCGAGAAGAAAAAGTGAAGCTTTACCAAGTTTTTGTGGAGGAAAAGGATGCAAAGGGAGAGGAAGAACAGCAAAAATCAAATATTTCTCCGCTAGGAGACAAGTTAGACGAGAAGAGACGAAGGAGAAGTTTGCATATGGATGTTTTATAGGACTAAACCAGAAAAGATCGGAACTTTATGGATCCTCGAGGTGTTCAGATCGGGAAAGAGAGAGAGGCAGAGCAATGCGAGAAGGTGAGACGTGCCACAAGAAGAGCAATGCGGAAGACAGGGGATGTCAAGAGAGAGGTGAAGGGAAGAGGAAGTGTGTCCGGCTTGTAGATGTCTTGTACGCATGAGAAAACGAGGAAAACGGAGGGAGGTGGTGGGCAAATGGAGCTCTTACGAAGCATCTCTCTCTCTCTCTCTCTCTCTCTCTCTCTCGCTGCAGTTTCTACGCGGGAAGCAAGCCGAAGGCAGGTTAGCAAAAGAGTGAGGAAGGGAGACAAAAGCAACCAAAGGGACGAAAAAGGAGGGTGGTTGTGGGTGGAGTGTAGTAAAGAAGAGATAAGGGTGAAGTCTGCACTGTAACGAGCATGACCGCAGCTCAAAGCAAACCTCTGTCACCTTCATCCTCTCTAATGGAAATTGTTCTGGTGTGCATTAATTGGGGGTGTTGCTTCTTCCCAGCTTCACCGCAGGATTGTCCAACATATCCCTTCTTTTACTTTGCTGAACAAAGATATCCCTTCCTAGATGCTCTTTAGATTGCTTCAGTTAAAGGCATATATTTATTTTGCTCCTGTTCGACTCTTCTTCCTCCTGCAAGTAGTCCAAGAATTAGAGGGGTTAGATGACTCTCATGTGGATCACTGTGATGCGTGATTTAAAGGTATAGGTATATTTTGATTAAGCCATTAACTAACCTCAAGTCATTCCCAAGCTACAGTAATATTCTTATAAAAAATATTTTATGATAGATGTCCTTCAACTAAACGATTAATTATAAATACCAATTCGTTTAAATAGAACTCAGATATCCTTCGATTGCATCTGAGACATTCATAAAAGAAAGTAGATATTATATTTAAAAACGTAGTATTAGTCTGTAGAAACTTTTGATCCTCAAATAAATAAATAAATAAATATATATATATATATATATATATATATATATATATCGTCTTTACCCCCTTATAATCCTTCATAAAATATATATTATTCATGTAACTTATGCTTTGACTTAAAAAGGATTTACGGACTAGCGGGAACATAGAAACAAAAAAAGTGGCCACCAATGAAGTGGAGCAGAAGCAACCTCAAAGGAAAGGCGCTACATACCCTTTTTTAAGCCTTGTCACGGTGGCTGATTCGTCGACACGTGTGCCCCTTTTTCTGTGCCAAATCCAATTGGACCCGAGCCCAGAATATAGCAGGTCGCTTTCCTTGGGTCGTGCCGTTTTGTTCCGTTCATAACGGCACGATCACGTTTCAAGGACTGGTTTAACGTGTCCCGCCCACGTCATCGCCTGATATTATTAACAAAAGATTTGACGTTACGTAAAGGCCAAATAATTAATGCGAATTAATGAGTAACTGCCCTGGAATTATAAGATATCAGAAATTCCAGGATGAGTTTGGCAGGTTTTGTTTATTTTGGGATGACTGAATGTGAAATGTGAGGCATCACATTTTCGACAATTTTTTTAATATATATATATATATATTATATATATTATTTATTATTTATTATTTTAAATTTGTATTTAATAGCTAATCTTTTATATTTATTGATACTTCCATTAGGGTAATGTCTTGTTAAGTTATTAATATGTTCTTGTAAAATTAACGATTCAGTTTTATCTTTTGTTTCATCTTCTTAATGTTGATACTAATTTTTGTTCGCTGAAATCGATCATCATTGTGATCTTCCTACGGTCGAGTCCAGCTTAAAATATATTTAGCACGAGATGAGACCCTGAAAAAGATGTTAGGTTTTTACATATAGCATCCATTTTAATTTTTTTTTCTTTTCCCATATTTGTTGAAAGCTCACGCCTAACAGAAGATATCAATTATTTAAAGATTCATCGGCAATCAATTTAACCCAACCTATCGATCACCCACTTGTAGGGTTAGGATTCGATAATCCACCACATAATAATAAAAAGATATCCTCGATCATCGACAGGACTGTCGACCAAATTTTTCTACAATTTGGGTAATTGGTTCTGTAAGTCTTGGGACTTGAGATGAAAGCAATTGAAGTACGTGGAAGAAGAAGCCCTTTTCAATCAACCTCCCACCGAATCAATCCTCATTGTTCACTAAATGCTCGTTAATTGTCTCTGTTGAGACAATTCTTCCAAACTTGCCAAGGAGAATGACACCAAACCAAGATGTGATCTGAGGTTCCAAGGGTTGGGCTACGTATAACTCTAAACAGAAATTTGGCACAGATGAACTTTGTAAGGTAACCCTTAATTGATTTGAGTATGACTTTCTAAATGAAACTTTTATTTGATACTTTTTTTCGAAAGAGCACCAAGGAAGATGGAATTGTTCGTTGAAAGATCTTCAAGATCATGAATTATGAGTGAGTTTTCTTTCCTTTTTTATTTCTGACTTTTTATTTTTTGGCACAAGGAGAAGGATGATTTTTCACAAAGAAAAAAAAAGTCACTCTTTTGATATATATATATATATATATAGTGAGAAAAAAGCTTTAACATTTGAAAACAAAGATTTAAAAAAATAATCAAATGAATCAAAAAATTTTTTGGCGCAAGTGATTTTTATATAATCAAACAGAAACATCAATCTTATGTTCTGCGACCACTGTAATCATTCTAGTGAGAGATTAAAACTCTTCTTTGGAGCTGGTAAAATGCATGTAGGAGGGCAAAAGAACATCACAGTTGATGAGAAAGCTGTAAAACAACTAAACTGATCACTTATAAATAGCACAAACATTTTGTTACCTCAGTTGCAATCAAACGCACTGATCATATGCTTAAGAAAACTCATGTCATGTTAACTAGGAGGACATGAAATACTATGTTTTACCAACTCTCGAGTTTCAACCCTAAAACCCAGAATACAACCTACTACAATATTTTTAATCCCAAATGCCAGCTCAAATTCAACAAAAAAAACCATTAATTAGATATTTCGATGACTGATCTGGGTATCTAGTCTTGCTGAAAATTCTATACCCAAAACTTCAGTTACCAAGTCTATCTCAGGGAGCGGCATCTACTTGTTGTAGAGGTAAACAATGCTGAATATGAAAAATGCCACCATCTGCCAGAAAAGAAAAGGTTTTAGAACAAATTCAACTGTAAGATATTGACAAATGCAGCTTCTCCAATAGTTTCTTATGCTTCATGCATGCATGTGATACAAACCTTACTCTGTAACTCAGAGCAATTTATAAGTTGACATATATCCAGCATATCACTTGTTAAAAGTTTGGTTAGCATTATTTATTCATTGATTTGGTATAAGAAACTCACAGTTGAAAATGATGCTCCATAATATGGAAAAGCAGTCGTTATGAATCTCTCATATTCATTGTGCCGGAATGGTCGGACAGGTATCTGCAAGAGAATGACTCAGATTTGATTAGATTTATCTATTTATATCGGGAATCAACATAATCATAATTATTCACAAGACAGTGGCGCTAATAGCTTTTATTTTCCCAGGTTAAACAGTAAGTTCTGCAGGAGCTGAAGGATCCTATCTATAAAAAAACCTAGCTGAAAACACCTAAGTTTATTATAGTGTTTCTAAACAAATTCCTGATGACAAAAGGTGATCTCACCAGGACCTTTCTAGTGAAGCTGCCAACTGATAACCATTTTTAGTCATTTGACCAAGTGTTGTGCCACATGCATATAAAGAAGAGCTATAAGTAATGACAGTATCTATCAAGGTAGCTAGTCATCCCACCAATGAATATGAAAGCAAAAACAATGTAGGTCAAATAAAGTATCACCACAAAAGGTAGAAAATGCAAAAAGGATAAGGATTTACTAGACAAGCAATGTTGCATATAGCCAGATACAGAATAAGTACGCTAGTAAAACTTCCATCAAGCTAGGAGTTAGAAAATCTCTGTTTCTTAAACAAGAACTATTTTTGTGCTTGTTGCTTCTGTCTCTCTGTCTGGTACTAATTCTACCCATCCACCATTATCAACATGATTTGCCTGCCACAATACCATAATTTCATGCTGAAGATGTACCTGTAATTGCTGATGATGCCAGCTGGCACAATCATTGTGTTGTGACCCAAAAATTAACAAACAATATCACATCCACGGTGGCTCATGCCTACTTTGATGAAACAATCTATTTCAAATAACATGATCCTTCCTGTACTAGAACTAAACCCTAGCTACTTGACTGATATACTTTCTCTTACGAAGAAGATTTAAAGCCAATGTTTTAAAAACCAAGCGCACTGCCCAATATGGCCCAGTTACTGGTTTGACAAGGAGCTGCCACATGGTCTAAGCAATTTCACTCAGTCTGATTCAGAACACTTAAATTTTCTTCTATCTATGGCTGAAAACAGCTATTGACAGCCTCAATAGCTGTTGAAACTAGTAAACACAGCTTTCAGCAGTTTTTTACTCTGTCTTTCCACCTTGCAGTCTCTGCAAGGTGGACTGCAAGGTGGAAAGACAGCCTCAATAGCTGTTGACAGCCTCAACCTTTGGTACACACCTTTGGTACACAATTTTCAACAGCTATTGACAACCACAATAGCTGTTGAAAAAAGTAAACACAGCTTTCAGCACTTTTTTACTCCTCTTTCCACCATCTCAGCATCCACCTCCTTCAATTGCCATTATCACCTCCTCACATTGTTGCTGCCACCATCTACTCCTTTGGTAAGTATCATCTTCTCATTCATCTACCCCTTTGGCACACATCATCTTATTATTTTTCTTCTCTTCTCCACCGCCTCCTCCTCCGCAGGTTGGACCCATACTAGTAAGGACTAGGACATACCGACACATGGTATGCACCACCGTACAAGTACCAAACCAGTCCACCCAAGGATCGATATCAGTGCGGGACCACGATTTAGAACCTTGTCTAAGGTCATCCTTTCATACCTAACTTTGCTTAGTCTAAAGATCAACGAGGTCAACAGTTGATCATAAAATTCTACATAACTTTCCTAGGAGCCTTATCAAGTTTAGTTGTACTCTACAGCTAAATCCATATTGTTTTCGGGAAAAAAAACTTGAACAATGATTGCTTTAAGCATCAAACAACAATTTAGTAGGAATTACACTTTGGGGACGGCACACAAACCTTTCAGCAATATAATGAAACATATTGAAGGTCAAAAGGAGGGAGAAAAAAAGAAAAGAACCAACTAACGAGACATGACAGACCTGTTTTGAAAGTGATAAGCTAGTGTATCCAAGTTTTTGGTGCTCCACCTTAAACTGGAAAACGCCATAGACATCAGGAACCTTGAATGAAGTTGAATACAGGCCCTGCGACAAGGACAACAAAGCATTTTCTTCGGCTGTGAGATATCTAGCATCTGCAACCAGAGGAATTTAAACTTGAAAGGTACCTTGTGGTCAGTGGCAAGGGTTTTTAGTACATAGGGGCTCATCATATAAAATTGAACTTGCACATCATCTGCTACATATGGTTCCCAGCTTGATCCAGACCATTCATAGATTTCAACAGAATATTCCTTCACCAAAATTTCATTAGAAAAATATGCAAGCAACATTTTGTTTCTCCCTGCTTATCAGACTCAGAACAATAAATTTTTCACAGAAAAACAATTACCAGATCATCATTAATCCGATACATGGATGGCTCATTTGTTTCTCCAACTTTGTGATGATGTACATTAACAGCCTGCACATAACAATATTCGGCAATAAATGTTAATTAATTTCTATAAAAGTAATTCCACTCCAATAACAACATTCCTAAAGAAAACAACTTTCCAATTGTGTTGATTTCATTCAGCAAATTAACGGTAAAATTATGTGAACAATTGATTTAACTAAGATGCCAGATCCTTAACCTTGAGATGACCCCTTTCATGGAAGACCCATTTGCTAATCTCTGTGACAAACTGCTCATTGCCAGACTTCTCGTGCCTGCAGCAAGGCAAAGTTCCCTTTAGCAAGTTTCTTAAATGTTTCTGAATAATGACTGCTTTTTTACACCAAATGAACCACTTATATCCTAAATGCTCATGCAGGAAACTAACGGGTCAGTACAGGAATTTACGAAAGAACAAAATCCATCTAATTTTGCAAATAATTATGAAAAGGAATTATCATCATAAAATAACATCCAAAATTAATGGAACTATATGCAGGGAAGCTAGCTGAAGGGTTCAACAGGTTTCTTCATAATAGGATGATGTTGAATCAATACTGTCTACACAATGCCATTTGAAATTTACAGCTTTAAAGGAGAAATTGTAATGAGAGAGCAAGAAGGCATTTAATTTTTCTCTTTCAGAAAATCACTATGGCAGTTAGCAACTGGTGCAAACATTTTTTTAAATAACATTCTACAAAATAAAGCCAGAAAAGGAAGCAACGTACAAAAGTTAACAAGTTGGTTTAGTAACAAACATTTTTTAAAATAACATTCTACAAAAGAAAGCCAGAAAAGGGAAACAACATACAAAAGTTAAGAAGTTGGTTTAGTAACAAAGCAAACAAGTTCTAAATACAAATAACCCTTACTTAATAGACCTCCCAGCCTTCTGCACACCAGATTTGAGAAAACTGATGCAACCAACATTATTAATCTGCGTTAGAACTAATATTATTCACATCTTAGAACTAAGAGACAACATTCATACCGATTGCTGAACATATCCAAAGAGCCCGTAATCAAAATACGAGCATTGTTTCTTGCCTGAAGATTGAATAAAAATGGTAAGCATAGATTAAATGAATTTCTGTAAATAGCAGTAGATAAAAATATGGGCAGATCAATGCACAAGACTCCCACTAATGTGGGGCCAGGAGGATCCATTTAATGAAACCTTATATCAAGTTATGAGAAGATATGACATTTTTATTATGAAATTCTTAAATATTAACACATAAGACAAACAAAACACAAAGCAAATATCAGATAGTTGGATCCAATAATGTGTTTATACTGAATGGCATACTTTGGTGGCCAAGGTTCCTGCCACATGCAAACAAGGCAGCTCCTTCAGCAACAGATGAGATAAATTAGTTGGTCTGATAAGCATGTCAATCAGCAACATTTTATATATGAGTTCGTGGAGATGCTGCTGAAGCAATTGTTTTTCCAGTACACGTCTAAAGGATTGCTAAATTCAACAAAAGCAGGAAGAATTACAGTGTTAGAACTTGAGGCACATATGCTATTGAACAATTGAACTTCAAACATCTTCACATACTGTTACCGGTTTTAAAAAGGAGCAAAAATAACTTATTTATTTAATTTAAATAATTTGGTGTATCAATAATTCTCTTTCTTCCTTCTGTTTCATTTAATTAGACAAAACAACACTGGTGTTCTAAAATGTTACATTGACACTTACAGTCGATTATATGACTTCACAGCACAAGAACCATATTACTTTCACTAGCCATATGACCTCATAACAGCAATATGAGACCCAAGAATCAATACACAAGTGACAACAAATATCTGCATGCAGATGCAGAATACAGTAAAAAAACACACGTTCCGTCCTTCCTCATTACTTAATTTTACCAAGAATTATATTGTTTATTAACAGTATGATGATATATGAGCCATAATAATGTTATACTAAATTTCCTAAGATTCTGCATTTTTCTGGTTATTTGTCACTTAAATACACTCCCAAATCAGCATAACATGGCCTATAAATTCTGAAGTCCAAGCATAGCATTTTTTACCTATTTATCATTCATAATTTTCAATTTGTTTCAAATTCACACTTAATATACATCATCAACTAACATATTTTAAAAAACTTGATATAAACTTGATATAGCGCAGATGTGCAGCGAAATACAGCATATACTTTGTGTAGTTCTTCACCCATTCCATACCATAGCCAATTTCAGATGATTAGGCAGTACCTTTACTATGTGATCTTTATCACCAGTCATAAATCTTTGTTTTTCCAGAACTATAGCAACAAAGATGGACTATTAGAAATTATGTGATCCCAGTTACTTTAACTACATAACTTATAAGCAGAAAGAAATCAAAGATTTGGTTTCTAAAAGCAGTGTTGTCAAAGGTGCAGGCACTAAAAGGCACCAAGGTTTCAAAACAGCCAATGTGCTAGGTCCTAGCACGCCTATGCAAAACAAGATGCTCATTAATATAAAAATTATAAAAATATAATTAAGACTAAAAATAATCATTAAAATAATAATTAGGCAATACATAAGTTTCATGACATTTCATATTCAAAATATCACCACTAAAACATTGAATTACATTCATTTAACCACTAAAATAAAGGTACTACTACGATTCAAGAGCTTAATACTACAGTGATTATTCAAAAGATTACTGGTAACAATCTAGTAATTAGTTATTCAGAATCAACAATCAAGAGCCTCCGATTGAGAGGAGAGGGGGGAGGGGTGCTACCGGGATAGAGAAGCAATGAAGGGTAGGGGGAGAGAAGAGAGGGTTGCATTGCCAAGAGAGAGAATGGGAGGGAGGGAGAAAGAAAGAGGGAGATGAGAGTGGAGAGAAGGGGTGGGGGGAGGAGGGGGAGAGAGAGAGAGAGAGAGAGAGAGAGAGAGAGAGAGAGAGAGAGAGAGAGAGAG